TTTCTTAGCTGAGATGCGCCTCCACCTTAAATCATCGTGATCGAGCCTCGCATCTCGGAAGGTTCCTGATTGCGATTTATGCCGCGCATATCCTCGCATGTTCCAAGGACCTTATTTACGCGCGACGTCTTTAAGGACTGCCTTAAATTATTTCTTTATTTTTTTTTTATTTTTACACGCTCGGCTAGCGATACAGAGGAAATGATGTTTTATGGACGTGCCAGGAGGGATTAGATCGCTTCGGTTTATTACCCTCGAGAGGGTTAGGCTAATTCGCGGTAACTCGCGGTAATCCGCGCTTTCCGGATCAATCGGCACGTTCCTCCTGGGGAGACGGATTAAAAAGGTCCTTTGTAGAATTTTTCACGACTTACGGGATTCGAGATATCCCGCGTTAAAGTCGACCAATCGCGCGCTGGCTCTTGGAGAAAGTACCAGGTTTGTTTACGCGCAAGCGGATCGCTTTGCGGATTTATTGTTACACTCGCGAGCGGAAACCGGGCGGCGTTTGATCAACCTTTACATACACCGAGATGAGTTTCGTTTTCGCCGGGGTGCGGTCTGGAAGAAATCCAATCCCTAATCGATTTTTCTATACCCTCTATATTCGCAACGTCGATACCGAAAACGATCCTTCTGCGACTCGGCGTCGAGCGAGAAATATTTCCCTAATTATTAATATCGTTTATTAACGACTCGAAGTAATTTTGTTCCGGGCTCACGGTCAGCGACCGAATCGTGGTACTGCCAGGAGAATGGTAATTGGCGGGGGAGTTTGTCGCCGGTAATAATATTTTCGAGAGGAGAAAATGCCGGTTTCCTATGGTGGAAGAAAGGCTGCCGAGTACGACCGAGCGTGGCGAGCTGAAATAAAAGGATCGCGAGACGATAGGCGATGCTTCGCCAAAGTAAAAGTAAATTGTAATGATAGTGAGCGGTATGCACCGTATCTCAATCGGCCGGCTAATTGCACGGTGCGGTTTCACCGTATTGCGTTCCGCGTCTCCTTTTTTTTTTCCATCCCGCCGATTATGTTCCGCGGATGACAAAGTCGGCCGTGGAAACGGCGCGATCAGCTGATCCGCGGTCGCCAGGGACTCGAAGGCCGAGAAAACAATTACCGTCTCCACCTGCTCGAGGAAAGGTGTGTCCGGCTACTGGTCTCAAATGGTTTTCTAATTGAGGGACAATTTAAGAAAATTGCCCGCCGATATACCGGTAATCATGATTTTCAATTGAGGTGTCAACAACTCATGAGCCGGGTTAATCGTCCCGGCACTTACATTCAATTTGCAACTGCGCTCGATCAGAAAACGTAACGCACAAGTGGGCAGAGTACGATTCGTGAAAAGTGCGGCTAAAGGATTTCAAATCGCGGGAAGGAATTTCTCCGGTTAATAATCTCAACGTGAAAATTGCGCGTCCACCGGCGCACAAAGTAATATTTACCATGAAAACTTGACCAAAATTATGTGTCCAAAAAATGTACTATCCGGCATGTGTTCGATTCCTGGAAAGAACGAAAATTACGTGTACGAGTGGAGCGTTTACACAATTGGCTTATGGCCAAGTTCTTGTAGTAAATAATTCTATGTGGGTTGAAAAGCGTTACCTAATTACGCGAAAATTTTAGAAAGCCGGCCGGTATCCCGCGATCATTACTCCTGCATATATTGAAGGAAAATTGCCCTCTTCAATGACTTTTTACGGGGGAATTTTCAACTTAGAAAGGGTAAGTACTTCCGCGGGAGTAATTGTACGCGTACTCGTAGATCGCGAAATGTCCGTTCAAAGTCGAGGTCGCACTCGTGGAAACGCTAGCGAATATGAATTTACGCGGAGGGGCGTGTCCATGTCGGTTAATAATCCTCTAATTGCGCGGTGATTCCATTAAATCATTACTCCAATCACCGCGGGTGCCCCCTCGGACTTTAGGGGGGCGGAGGAACGGGAACGTTTCACCCGGTGCCAGGATTTACCGATCGTAAGGAACGACCGGCCGACGATAAATGAAAACCCCCTGGCCTTAATGATAACTCGCTGATAAGCTGCCCCGGCGCGGCCCAGGTCTATCCGAGGTTTTTCCCTCCTTTCACGGCGAAACTCTCACGCGATTATCGGCCGTTTATCGCGCCGAGCTTGCAACCCGTGTGAACCGCACAATGGACTTTAGAACGCCATTAACATGCGCCGCCATTTTTTTTTCGCATTTCCCTGATCGCGGAATCGCGAATCCATTCTTCCCCCAGCCCTTACCTAGGGACCTTTGGGATACACATTTATTATTTCCTTATCTTTTTCCTTTTTTTAATCATTACCGGGCAAGGATCTTAATCGCTTAATAAAATTCCCTCGCGCCGCAGAGAGGAATACACCGAAAAGGATTCAAAATGGCGCAGGTGGCCCCGACCTCTGGCTCGTAAAGAAGGGTCTTCTTGGAAGAGAACTTCGCATCTTGTGGGATTTCAAGTTAGGCTCGGCTCGTAAAAGAGATGACGAGTCGGCAAAGTCGTGCGAGTCGCGCGCGTTTCCAAGTCGTACGAGTCGTACGGTGAGCTAAACGAGCCCGAACATCGCCACCATCTCCTCGTCTTGTAGGAACACGAGCAGCCGACATGCGCCAGCAAAGTGCCATACCACCGACACCGGGGAACACTCGGCAACGCTTTTCAACACCCTCGAACATCCTCGAACACCGAGCAACGTGTCGGTATCTGGTAGAACACCGGCGTTAACAACCGTGTCCCTTGCTCGTAGGGAAGGAGCGGTCGGATTTATTTCCGAGGTTTATACATGGACGAGTCAAGCGAAGAAATCTTAAAAAAAGAAGAAATTCTCGCCAAAAATGTAATTCTCTCTACCTAAGAAAATGTCAAATGAAATCCACGGGAATTAAGAGTACTCAATTTTCCTCCGGTTTGCTTCATCAAGATCTATCTCCGAGGGTTATGTAAGGTAAAAAGTAAGTAAGTAAAAAAGATCGGAAATAATTACACCCAGAAAATGGATTTTTCTCCCGATCGAAGAAAGTACTGCAAGTCGGATTTATTTTCCTTTTCTGGAGATGCATGGAGTACTTCGGGGGTGGAAAGACGAAGAGATGTAGAGAGAGGCATGGGGTGGTTTTCCTGATTTCAATGAAATGTGCATACGCTTTGTATGCACTTTGTATGAATCTAATGCGGACAGTTTAGGCCCGTTTTAGTGTTGTACGCGAATGTTCGTTACGAGTGATATATTAAACACTCGGGGCACTTTTATCGGGCGATCACGCAACTTGACGAGAGAGACGAGCCGAGGGAAAGTGGAGGGCACAGGAGAGAGAAAAGTAAGTCTTATTGTGGCCGGCCGGAGAACTAGCAAGAGTGAGAGAGAGAGGGCCCTATGGGACGCGAAATAAAAAGAGAGAGAGGGGGAGTGATACCGGGAGCGTAGCATGATCGTGGGTTTAATGTCCGCTCTCGTATTTACGAGTCGGTCCGTTTTAAACCACCGCGGGGACCGGCGGGTTGATGCGAGATGCGAGTTGCGAGATATCGAAGCGAACGCCTTCGATAGGCACGCGATAGCACTCGAGAACTCGAATCGCTCGCCAATCGCCGGGGAGCTTAAATCATTACCGGATGCGGATAATCGGCAAGAGGTTCGTTCGCCAAGAAGATCCCTGTATACTTTCCACGTTTCGATGAAAAAAAAAAAAAAAAACATTGCGCGCAAAGAAATAAAAAAAAAAGGCCAATCGAGCCATGGATTCCTCCTCTGAATTTTTTCCCCACGAAAAGTCGTGGCGCTCGCGAAAACGGGAAAATTGATGATTACAGAAATGGCTAATAACACTTCTCCAACTATTTCTAGGAGTACCACAGGGCGCGCTGCATATTCCAATTTAGTCGAAAATATCGGCCGAGAAAGTTAAACAAAAAGAGCACACGCCCTCGCCGGGCACGCGATATCGTGAGAACTCGATTCGCTCGCGAATCTCTCGGGGAATTTCGTAAACTCCGGCGGAATCGCCGGTGCACCAGCTGCTCGGAAAAAATACCCCCGTGAATCTAGTCTTCCCGAGGAGAGGAGAGAACGCGCGCGTTTAATTCTTGGGACGGGAAAGCTCGACCTTTCGAAGCTTCCGCTCTCGACGTCGCGTTTTCTCCGCAGAGGAGAGTTTCGCGTGCGTATGTATGGCAAGGAAGTCCGCGTACGTACGCGCGTCCCCGAGAGCGTGAGTTACAAGTCCATGGTCCACATAAATGCAAATTACATGGACGTTTAATATCTCACGCGGGGGGCAATGTACTTAGACTCGGTGACTCTAAGCGCTAAGAGGTTCCTCTACGGGAGAATCGAATTAATTATTCGCTAACTCCATTATTCACCATCACCCCGACCTCATGACAACTTGAAATGGAATTTAATATTCGCTAATTTCATTATTAAACCACCCTCGGGATCCTCAGATCCCCCGAGTCAATTATTCGTTAATTTCGTTAATCACCATCCTCGGGATTTTACGATCGCCCGAAGCCGAGAAAAGAAATCAATTCGAAAATGAAAGCCCGCAATCTCCCGATTTACTTTGTATCGGAGTTGAAGAGTGGAAGAACGGAACCGAAAACGAGAGGCAGGAGGGGAAAGCAAGCGGCCGCGTGGGTGTGTAAAATGCGGAGGCGCGTTTCCGTCGGCGTGTTTATGAAGTAACGGTACCCGGGCGTAATACATTTATGGACGATAAGGTTGCAAACTGCGGCTACTAAAGATAAGAGGTGATAACTGCAGGGTGCAGTCCCGGTGCGGTGCATCGGAGTGCAAGGATGCCGGACGAGGAAGCGCCGTACTTGGCCTCTCTTCAACTATTCGCGACTCTTTTACACCTTTCAATTTACGACTTCGCCAAGGTGCGCTACGTGTACCCGCTTAGAAGGGATCCCAAGCTGCAAGAGGTCTCCTCGCCCCTTTCCCCGCTGGTTAAATATTTATAGAAACGTTACGAATCAATGACTCACCCAGGCAAGTGATGGCGTGATCGGCCGGAGGACGAAGGACGTTCCTGGACCAGGCTGCTCTGAGGACCTCCAGGGCACAGGGAGGTCCTCCGACCATCAGCACCCCAGGAGAGACGTGTCCCTTGTACCTCAACTGACGAGTCGCGTCCACCAGGGCGGCATTCCACCAGCACTTCGAATTGGCCTCGAGGAAGCCCTGAAACAGAAATTTCGAAATCCCGGGTCAGACGTTTCACGATGGAGGTGGATAGGAAAGAGGTAGGTTGGGATCGAGCACCCCAAGGCGTTCTTTCTATCATTAATGAAATGAAATGGTCCCTTCTGGGGTAAAAACAATTCCACACCCCTCTAGTCTTGGAGTAACAATGATAACGTTGTTATATAGCAGCTTTTCCCGAGCCATCGAATGAGATACGACGACGGTGTCGAGTGTTTGTCGTGCTGGGAGGGTTGTGTTTGGACGGGGGTTTTCCACCCTCGTTTATCAGGGGACGCCGAGGAACGCTTCTGCTCTTGGCAGCGGCTCTTATGGTATCGAGACTTATTGCCATGGGGTGGATAAAGCGACCAATGGTCATAGGGAAGCGACTTTCATGGGTCCATCGCTCTTCTCCACCTTCTATTTGGAGACGGAGTGCTAACCTGTGGTGCAACGACCAGGGGAAATTGAAATGTCTAATTACCGAGGGGCACGAGTTGCGCGTTCGCTACTCCCATTCGAAAGACTCGGTCAAGCAGCGAGTCATGAACCTCGGTTCATAAATACGGTTTGATTGGATTTCCGCATCGTTAGCAGTGGCTTCCCGCAAGGGTCAAGATCGCCCCGACACAATCGAACCACTTTCGCGTCGAGCCGATCGATTTGCCGCGTTTGAATTTCAAATTGCTCGGCATTGATTGGGCTTTGTTTAATTATCGCTCGGCAGCGGAAATCGGCGCAAGCCTCGAGGCCTCGCCGTAGTTCGCATTAAAATGGCGACCGTGACTTTCTCCCGCGCGTTTGTTCGAGCCTTATGTACACGGGGTATATCCTGACGATATCGCGCTCGTTTAATAGCCGCTTGTCATATATGGATGTCTGTTTCCTTTCCGAGGACATGCCGCTTCCTCCCCTGCGCTCCTTCCGCGTGTCTCGTGGTACATGTGCGATCGTGTTCCCGTCACTTCCGCTACCAGAATGCGCCGCCATTTTGTCGTCGAATTTAACGTTCGACTCGGAAGTTAAGTAACGCCGCGAGCGGATCGATAGTATCGCCTCGTGTCGATCATGGTACGAGGAAGGACCTCTCTATACAAATTAGCGACTTTTTCTTTTTTTTTTGACAACTTCAAAGAGGTGACGTTTTTTTGTATTTTCACTTTCAGAAGCCTCTGCATTTTCGAAGTTCTGTCTGCGGCTGACAGGATGGCTCTTCGGCGGTACATTTAAATCCTTCCTTCCCACTCGTTCCTTTAAGTGCCTTTTCCCGATAACTCCCGACTTCTGTCGCCGACGTGGGGACGAACTTAATGGAAAGGACTTGCCGGAGAATTGCGACAATTTCTTTTTTCCTCTTACCACTGCCCGGGAGGCGGCTAAGTGCCGGAAGCGGAAATTCGAGGCGTGGGAGGATCTCACGAACCCCTCGAGGATCTCCGAAAGTACCAAGTTTCCCCCTTGGGTAAAACCCTCTGAAACGTCTGTAACTCGAGGGAGAAAATAACCTAACGAATCAATGAGAATTAAATTTATTCGTCTGCAATTTTTCCAAAAAAGTCATATTTTTGTGCGACCTCGCCGCTTCTCAAAGAATCGCCATTACGGCGTTAATGCACTAACACCAAGAAATTCCCGGTGGATCTTGATAAAAAGATTTTTCCACGAAAATTCTTATTTTCCTGTGGCCTCGCCGCATCTTGAAGAATCACCGTCGTGTCGTCGATGTGTCGATTTACTAACATCAGGAAATTCGCGATGGATTTTAAAAGAAAGAAGCGTGATGTATCTTACCGAGCGATCAGCGGTTCGCTTAAAATTCCATTGTCTGTAGACTTGCAAAGTGTCGCTGACAATAAGAAGAAATTAACAGAGACGAGGATTCTTTATAATTTTTTCCCCAATAATCCTAGACCCCCCCAACAACTGCATCGACTGAAAGGAATTTACCTAACAGGGCTGAGTTTACACCTAATCATATAAGATTCCATCTCGAATCGAGGATGACTCCCATTCCCATACTTCGTAGTTTTCTCAGCGGCATAGGCGCTTTTTCTTTGATGTCAAGAGACGGAAGATCGAGCCGGTCGGAGAGCGTAATGGCGCTTAAATGTCCCTAATGTCGGGGCGGAAAAAAACTTTTATATTCAATACCCTCGGAGGTTTAACACCTCACGAACGGTCCGAGGTCTTTTTCCTAACGTCTGCCGCGGGGCATTAGGAGAAATAAACGCTTTTTATATTCATAAAATGGCTCGAACAATTTTTCGGATAATCGCTCCCTTTCTTTTCCCGATCGATCTCGATCGTAGCCGGCTTCCCCAGGGCCCGGGGGGAAAAAATCGAGGATTTCGAAAGTCGAAATTCTTTCTCGGCGATGCCCTACATTCGCATCGTTAGTTCTTTATCCCGGTTTCCCCACGTCTCCACAAAACTGCGATTCGTACCAGGTGAGTAATACCCGACGTCCGATTTCGACAGCGCCTCTCGTCGGCATTTTCTGCCGGCGACTTCGCCGGACAATTATTCAATACCAATTTGCATAAGACTCGGGACGATTCGGGGAGTTCTCGGGCACTGGGAAAAGTGGCGGCCCTCGGGTGATCCTCCAGGAAAGGCTAATCCTCTCGAATCGAATGGTGCTCGATCATTACGGTGCCAAAGGCCAGACCGGTAATACCGAGTATTAAGATACTCTCCCTAGTAGTGCATAAATTTAGTCAGCACCTGGTCTGACCGTTTATCCGCGAAGTTAGAGGATAATGGGCCGCTTTTGCATCTTGCATAATAATTAGCGACCGAGTAGGAACGGTACCTCGGGCTAGCCTCGCCGGAGGTTCACTGCCAATGGCGAGGAAATCGCTGAGCAATAAAGGGGAGACGAGAGCCGATTAAACGGAATTCGCCGATTGGACCAAGGGACGGAATGCGCCCGTTTCGCATAACTTATTTACCTCGCCCCGGGGATCGCTAAACGAAGCGCGACGATTCGCGGCGTCGTTTCTTGCGGCCCCGAGGAAGAGGCGTCCTCGAGGCGGCGAGTTAGTTCCGTCCGAGTAGCGCCTGCAGAAACGGGATCCTTTGCGTCGAATCGATCGGCCCGTTTCCAACGCAACGGCAGCCATCCTCGAGAAGAGACGTAATAACGCGCGATTAGTCGAGGACTCTCGAGAAAGATCCCTCTTCCGCGGAAAATCGACGCCCTTAACGGGTACTACGCGAGTCATCGCGTCCACGAGTACCACCTACGTCAATAATACTACTGGATATATTTACAATCGATGATATTATACGTAAATATACGTCCGGTTTAAACGCTAACGCGGTAATTTCGATTATTCGTCCGAGTCCCCGCGGCATCCAAGATGGCGGCCGGCCCGAAGAGAAGCGCGCCGAGGATCGCCGCCGATCGGCACTGGCCGCAAGAGTTCTTGCTCGTTCTAATGGATATTACGAATTAATGGCGGCTCCTTGGCGGACGGTGGTTTTTTCCCCCTTTTTCGCCGGCGGTATATTGCTAAAATGATAATAAGATAGGAGGCGAGGCCGGCCGCGCCGTAGCCGGGCCGCGAGCGGCGTTTCTCTCCCCTGGCGAGGCGAGTCGTTATGCTCGTCGGCAACTCAATCTGCCCGGCCGTAGTATCGGTGGATACTTACTGGGAACTGCTTCGCAGATACTTATCGTAAACGTTTCTCCGCGTGTAAATTCACCGGCGATGCTTTTCTTGCCCCGGCTCGCCTTGGCGTCTATCGCGGAGTAGCGCCCGTGCCTTTTCTTTATCCTTTATCATAATCGAGGTTGCTACCGATCGCTTAGGTTATGTCTCCGCCATTCCACGTGCTATTGGCAGTCTTCCCATTCCTCGAATCCCCGCCATCACCCTCGAGGAATTAATTATTCATACTTTTCTCTCATCCTCCAAGCGTACCTTCGACTCCTGCGACGACCGAGCGACGCGCTTCTTGCGCAAGAAAAAAGAAGATGGCGGCCGCGAGGCGACGCCAACCGATTGCTCCTCTAAGGTACGCGCCGTTTCGCGGCAACCGCTCGGGCGTTTCAATTATTAACACTTTTTGCTCGATCCTAAGACAGGTCTGCAGTCGATGCGCCGAGGAAAACGCGGAAAGACGGAGACGCGTCCCCGTGTTCCAAGGAAAACCAAGTGACGGAGCCGAGGTAGCGATTACCGGCTGAATTAATTGTTAACTTTTTCCCGTGTCTACAAGGCGTCCTCGTAGGACCGGTTGCTCCCCATAGGAATGAAAAGCTCGATTTAAAGCGTCCTTCGATCCGGTATACCGACTATTTGGCAGGCTCGCTCGTAACATTATCCGCCAAGTAGTCGCCCTCCACCCGTAGACGATTATTCCCCCGCGATTAATCCCTCTCCATCTAGGCATTCCATGAATTACTCCACGTCCGAGCATTCCGAGAATTTCCGGGGGAAATATTTATAGAGCGTCCACGGGTGGGTCCGCGATAAAGGAGTCCCCGTTTACGAGGGCGTCTCGCATGGGGCCCCATAAACGAGAGCCGAAGGGGGATTTGCGCCGCGCAGGAGGCGAGGATATTTGCGTAGCCACGGCGCTTTCGCCGTGTCACGAGGCATAAGTCCGTTGTCAATTTCTGCATGTAAAACCCGGCATGAACCGCGCTGGGAACGACGCGACGCGTCGCGCCGCGCGACCATAAGCGCGGACCCGCCATCGCCGGTTTATGGAGCGCTTTCACTTCTATCCTCTATGCACCTCGCCGACACTTTGCGAGGATATTTTCGATAATAATTCGATATATCTCGCGTATCGAGTGTCGGGACACATAACGAGGGCGTTTACGAGCCACCCGAGACGTTTCTATCAGCGAGAGTCTGTCGCGACGATGTCCGATAAATGGCACGCACTCTCGATTTTTAACCATCGATCCGGCTTTTCATGGAGTTCCATGGACTTTTATCAGCCGCATAGGGTGGGGCAAGAGACCTCCATTTTGGAAAAATCCCCAAGGAGCGTTCAAGGATCCCCCAGGATTTCAATGGGGACCCTGGACGAGTTCGTAACTCTCGGGAGCCGTTCTCCAGCCCGGGTCCCATTTCTACCCAGAACCCGTTCTGGCCTTGGGGCGTCGCGACGCTTCCTTTATTTATCCCGCGGTTTAATTGGCAAAGGGTAAAAACAGGCGTCGAGGCCGTCGCGCCCCTTGACTTCGGAGGGGCTCCTGATTTTACGACGCCCCAGGACTCGCCTCGGATAAGGATAAGGCATATCACCCCCGGACACTTCGCGGTAGGTTGTCGATCCTGCTCGTGGTGGACCTGGTGCCTTCTCGCCTGCTGCACGACGGAAATGGTCCACCCAGGCCCTCAGGGCTCGGTCCATGGAGCATTACTATGGAAATTATGCCGCCGTGATTTATGCTCCACCCTGACCGGACTCCACTGCCAATTGATACTCGAAACACTTAGAGAGCTCCTAACTTCAAGATCTGGACTCGTGGCAGGATTTGCGAGTCGGCAACGAACTCGTATATCGAACTCGCCACTCCGAGAACTCGAGGCGAGGCTTCGATTCTAGTGATTCGAGTTTTGCAAGAGTGGCCAACCAGTGCCAAGAAAAGTTTGCGGTTGCCAGAAGACGGTCCTGTTTATCTTCTCGGAATAAATTTCCCGCGAAACTTCGCCGGAAGAAAATTTCCGCCATTGGGAAACTCCATTGCGGGGAAGAGGGTGAATCGCGAGTTGCTCCATGTCGCGACGACTTGGGCCATTTAAAAGAGCAAAAGTAGAAAGTCCGTGTCACGGGACGTCACTTTAATGTCCAGGGGACAGCTCGTGCAGCTTTTAGGCCCGTGGAATATCATTTCCTCGTACAAAGGCACGATTCTCAGCTGCGCTCCGAGCGCTCCGAAAGAAAGTCCTCAGGGGGAAAGGAAAAGGTGGAGCGCAAGAGTGGACGGCAAATATGATTAAATTATTGAAATCTAGGTAAGACGAATTCCCCGTTGCGAGAAATTCTCCCGTGGGGATATGAAAGTACCGGAGGAGAAATGCGAAAAGTTCCGTTAATACATCAACGTACGTGAGGGAAATGCGAACTGGTCGGAAAAATCGGATCTCAGAGGAGCAGAAAGAGAGAGAGAGAGAGAGAGAGAGAGAGATAAACGGGGGAAAAAAGTACGAGGTATGGGAATTTCTGAAAGCGAGATATTTAAGTAAGGCACACTCGAATAAGCCCCGGGAGAAATGCAACAATCTCAATTAATGTATCTGCATGCGCGGGGAAATTACTCAATAGTCTCAGATATACGGGAAAGTTACGTTTTTTAGGGCGATTCTGGGACGAAAAGTCCGCACGCCGGGATTGATATGAAAGCACCGCACCGAGAGAAAGAGAATTCCCCTTCGGGAGTGGAGAGGCGAAAGAAAAGCCCGGAGAAATTATACCGCGAAATTGAAGGTGAAAAAAAGCCGATAATAGGCCGGAAGGTGACGGATGTGCGCTCGCAATTAGCGACGTTGTTCTTGATGAAGCCGATTTTTAGGGCGCGATGCAATTTCCTCCGGGCGACGAGAAAGTGCGATGAGAATTGCAATTTGCGCCACGCTCATCCCGAAGGGGCGAAATGAGGGGCTCGGCGATTCCGAAAAAACGCGTCCCTAGGGGGGAACTTCATCGTCTTTCTTTCGGAATTTCAGGTAATCCAGGGAATCGTAAATCGACTCGAGCCCGATTTAATCCGCGCTGGGGCAATTGGCGAAAAAATCAACGGCGATAATTATATAAGAAACCATAACGCGAACAATAAATACAGAGCGATGGACTTTTCGCCGCATAAAAATTTCACCTTCGTGTCCTTTTTTGGGAATTTCGGATTCTTGGTTTTGTAGTCAGATTTTCGGAATTTCAGAATCAGGGAAACCGATTCCTGGCGCGACGAAATTTTATTTTTTTGTACGTCTTCCTTTCGGAAGTTCAGATAATTCTCGATGATATACCAGGGAATCGTAAATCGACTCGAGTCCGATTGAATCTGCGAGGTGGCAATCTCCGCGGAATCAACGGCGATAATTGCAGCTGCAAATAAACGGCGGGGTGCCGTACCGCTCGGCGTTTTGTGGAACTATAACGCGAACTATAAATACAGTGCGTCCGTACGGTAACTCTAATTGCGGCCGATTAGACCGCCCTGTATAATTATCCGACTCGTCGACTCGGCGAGACGTTCCTTCTCGCACCTTTTCCGCGGCTTTCCGCTCCTCTCGGCAGCCGAGTAGCCGCAACGCGTGGCAGAGACCTTCCTTACCGGCGAGCCATTAATCGAATATCATTAAATTTCTCGTGAACCCTCACTCGGATCGAGAAACGCGCTTCGCTTTCCTCCGTCCCTTCCTTCTGACCCGTTTTCCCACATTTGATCCGCGGGCGGAAACTCACGGGCGCTTTTTTTCCACCCGGGAGATTCTAGGCCAACCCGGAAGAGAATAGGTGGATGGACCATTGTTTTCACATTCAACGATTCAGCAGCAGCCTCCAGGTTCCCTTCCGTGCGGCTTCCTCGGGGACGCCATCGTCGAGCCACGTCGAGGGTCCTCTTCGCACGGCACGAGAAGAGCAGCGGAAAAAAGTGGAGGACCCTCCTGGGTGTGAAAGGCGCGTTCCAATTTTATTTCCTCTGCCGGTCTCCTCGGCTCCAAAGGTGTCCGCTTCGCGTTAAGTGCTTCCTTTTCAGTCCCCAAAAGAGATTCGCGAAGATAGTCGGAAAGCGGTCGGAAGGAAGCTGCGGAAAGGGAAGATCGAGGAGAGACGGCTCGCGCAATTGAGTGCGAGAGGACTAGAAGGTAAACGAGCACTCCGGCGCGGAATTACCGCAGCTTTGAAACTCCGAGAGTTTGCTCTACGCTCAATTCTGGGATGTTTACCGGCGCCGGAGGTAAACTCGAGACCAGCGGTCTAATTGATGCGGAGCGGAACCGGTGCGGAAGAGATTAAGGTGATATGAAAACGCCGTCTGAGGGATCTTCTTTATGAAACTTCCCTACGAATCGTGTGTACCGAATCGTTCGAAATTTTACCGCGCGAACATGGAAGCCTACCAAGGAAGGTGCCGACACCGATGAAATTTCAATTTTAAAATTGGCTTGTAATCACCTTTAAATTAAAGAATTAATTTCATGGGTGTCGAGACCTTACTTAAGGCCTCCATGTTCCGGTGGTGAAATTTCAAACGATTCGGTACGATTGGTTCGGAGAAAAGTTTCATAATCGGTTGACCTCTCAAATACCGCTTTCATATCGCGTTAAGGTCCTAGGAATATAGTAAAGTGTATGGAGGAGGAACTAGACCGATGGGTGCTTCATCTGGGTGATGATAACCTCGTCGATCATCGACTTTTTCTCACTCGATGTCTTCATAAGATTTCATGCAAGGCAACCCGGGTGTTCGATGGGGAGCGAACGACTCCCCGATTAATCACCAGGACAACTCACCGGATTCAACCGGAGTAGGTTACTAGATTTTTTGGTCCTCATGTCCCCAGGTATGTCAAGAACGACAGGTGGTTAAAAAAACGCGTGCAGGTAGTACAAGCGTATCAATCATATGATTTTCTACAGGCCGCCTTCGCCGCCTATAGTCCACCCAACTATATTCCCTATATTCGTATCTCCCCAGGGACCGACCGCTCGGTTACAGGGGAAGCCCGAAACAATGTTCTCGACTTACATCTGCCTTCGTCTTCGCCTTCTAAGCCGCTTTTCGAGCTTTCCCATTCCCCTGGATTAGCATAATAGGAATGCAAAGTACCTGGAAGAGGTTGTAGCCCTTGTCGTACATCCACATCTCGTCAGCTGGGTGCTCCTTCGGACTCTCCCTTTGGCCAGGATTGAGCACCTGGGGTGGAGGACCTCTGGTTAGCTGGATGGCCAAGGACCTCTGCAGCAACAGGAGGCACCGGGATGGTCCAGGACCTCCCGGTCCTGATCCGTCCCCCAACAAAGAGGCCATCTTTCCTGCCTCTCGACTAGCCCGATCCTTGATCCGGTGGAGGCATCACGTCATCTGCACAGAACAACATTCGACCGTTAATGATAATTGCAAAGTCAAACAACTACTTCCTACGTTTGCGCTAAAAAGACCGGCAAAGACCTACACGGTTGTCTAGACGTCTGTAGACCGACGTCGGTTTCGAAAAACCGATTCGCTAACACATTTTTAATTTTTTTTTTATTTTCGACGCGGCGCAGAACGTTTGTCGGCGTATGTGCTCGATTTATTTAATAAAGGAAGCCCTTCGTCATTTTCGATTATGTAGGCAGTTGGGCACCAGCTGTGTTTGGCCGAGGCGAACGCCCTAGGAGATCAATATTATCTCCGGATGTCTATCCGACGTCACGTACTTTGGTTTAAAAATATAAATGGCGCCCCCTCGGAATTATTGCAATAGGGTGCTATTGGATTAATCGAGGGGTGGCTTTTCGAGAAGGGAACGAGTGCATCGGTGAATTGGATCTGGACCGTCCAATTTGTCTTGCACTGCACCTTTTTTTCGGGAATAATCGCCAGACTTGGCGTGACTATTATAGTTTTGGTAATGTTGACAATTCCTCGGAATTTCTCATCAATGGGGTGGTTTCTGCCATTCGATGTCGCATCCCAGGAGATCAATACCCTCCGTGGACGTTTGCCGATCGTCACGTTCCTGGTTTTGGAAATAAAGGGGAATCCCTCGGAATTATTGCGGTGGGGGTGAAGCGGATTAAGCGAAGGGTGCTTCTCCCAGGGGGTGGAAACAAGGGCGTGCCTACAAACTGGAGTCCCCATGGCTTGACTCCAGAATATTGTGGAAGGCGGCGAAAAAAAAAAATTATGTTAAATAATTATCACCGCGAGCTTTGATATACTCTTACTTATCTCGTTACAACCATAAAATATTTCTAGTAATACGTTAACTGTGTTAATCCTTTTTTCTGGTAAATTCGAAAAGAATATCTCGGTAGAAGAGGCAGAATTATTCACTAGAAATTTATCCAGTATTTCAGGAATCTGATTAAGATAAGCGTATATTCAGCCAGACTTCGGTAATCAGAATTCTCTGCTCATATTAATCAGACTTTCTCATTAGCGACAACTGGAAATCAATTAACCAGGCGCGTCTAGTAACATTAATCGAAACTTTCTTCGAGTGTCGCAGATACATCATATCCCTTTCAGGGACTGACATGTATGTCTCGAAGTGGTAATTGCTTAGTATCATTTTCTCTGTCACTATTTTCTGTGTGGTAAAATCGTTTCGAGATACGAGGGATTGATAGGAATTTTTTTCCAGGGGTCGGGAATCTTAAAAGACCCGCAGATTGGAATCGGCGATCGGATCTTCGCCTTGTGCCAGTTAAGAGACTGTCCGGAAGTCGGGAGGCGCGGAAGAGGCACTTCCTGTCGAGTGACTCACGGCTGGCGGATCGTAATAACGATGGGTAGGGATTGTAATGGTATATAGTGGTAATGGCATGCCGGTAATGGCGTACCGGCGACGGTAATGCCGGGACCTCGCAGCCGGTGAACGTCCCTGACCCTGGACCCTGTCAAAGTATCGACCCATCGAATTAAGCCGCCTCGTTTCCGAGGCCATTAGTGGTCCTTGCTCTCCGTGGACGTGGATGTCTCCCGGGTCTAAGCTGATGGATGGAAAAGGTTCGGAATCCACTTCCAGAGGGCACGACGAGATAGAGATCAAAGGGACCGAGGCTGCTTCAAAGTTTCGGGGACCATTCCTCCGTTATTGGCACTTGGGAGTCGTGGAAATAAATCCGATTCGTTCCCTCTCTTCGGTCTATAGGAAGACAGAGATAGAAAGGGAGAGAGATCACGGATAAAGAGAGAGAGATGCATCCGCCGATGAGGCTCCACCAGGGGGAGGGAATTACGAGAGAGGAGAGAAACCGCTCCGGAGGATCTTGGAGATTTCCCAAAAATCAATCCGGACCTTCCGCGCCTCCCAGAAAGTACAATGGCCTTCCCATGGGAACCCCCTTTCAGGCAGGAAGGTCTGGAGTTACGAGAGACGTTTCCATGGGATGTTGCACCGCGAGGGGTGGCTCGGTATAATGAAGTCATTTAAATGCATCGTGGCCTTTTCAAGGTAAAGGTCCCTTTTTCCGTCCTTCCTGGGATATTTAAACGCTTTCATTTTTACCACTCGGATGAAACGACAACCGCGTTCCCTTGCATCTCGGGAATATATTCCCTTCTCGGTGTAGGTCCTCGGAAACGGATAAACGAGTAAATGGCAATCGTTCTTCTGTACCTTTCTACCATCGGGAATTTTATTCACTCCACCTCGCTCGGGTAATCTCCTCGATTTGATCCTGGACTTTTGACGACTGGCAATTGCATTGTTATCGAATAATTACGCCAGTCGAAAAGTTCCCACGAGGATAGGTCAGGTTTCATATATCACTCCCACGGGCTCCCATTTCCTATCTAATCAATCTAAATTTCTACCGGGACGACGGGCCTTAAATTGGCACCGTCGGTCGCCCCAGGGTAACAAACTCGGCTTATTTCTAGCCATTTCACGGAGTTCCCTCGTTCTATTGACGCGGTGCTTTAACAAATTTCTTCATAAATAGGAAGTGACCGACTTGCACCTGTTGCACCGTGCTGCGTTGGGATGGGTCAGGTTTTCTGCTGGGGGATTTTTTTTTTTATTCGGCTCGAGGGAGGCTTTGAAAATACTTTCGGTCCCGGTCTCGTAGGGGTAGGTCAGGTTTTCACCTGCCATTCCCGTGGCCCCCGATGGTCCTGGTTTCCCGTTTGATTGGCCTAGATTTCTACCGCAGGAAGTACCTTGGATGTTCCATAAGAGTAACCCGATGAGCGACAGGACTTAAATTACTATCTCGATTCGATACAATGGGAGCTTCAATCAGGAGTCGTAGACGCACTTAAACGGCGTACGCGACCGTCGTCTTCCATAAATAAAAGGCTCCTCGCGTCGCGTGCATCCCGTGCACCTTGTGTGCATCGTCTGCATCGTGTGCATCTCGTGTGCAGACGCGTGTCACTCGTGCGTCACCGAAAAAGTGGGTCACCGATGTACCCTGGATCTCGGAGAGGCGAGGAGCCTTGGGAAAGGCGAGCGATTGCGATCGGCCGGTCGATCGATCGATACGAGATCGATCCTCCCACACCGGTCCCCATCCCAAGTCGATCTCGCGATCGTCATTCGCCTGCACAGTGCATTCGCAAATTTGAAGATCCACCGATACCACCCTTTGGAAATTCATTTTTCCAAAAGGTGTGTTTCCAAATCCTAAGGTGGACGCGCCGATGGATTACGATCAATACGAGGTCGATCCTCTCGTATCGATCCACGTCTTCGCCCTGGGAAAAAAGATTCATTGAACCAGAAAAATATTTCCTTCAGTGGTACCGAAGAAATATTTTGTTAATTCCAAGAATAATTATTTAATGCGAATAAATTCTCATTATTCCGGATAAGTGTTGCGTGCAATTTATTTGGTTCAATGAAATTAGTTTCTCAGTGCGGTCGAGCTTTCGATCGTTATTTACATATATGGTATATTCGCGAATTTTAAGATATATCGATACTACCTTTCGGAAATTCATTTCCAATATTTACGGGATGAATTATGGCACGTTCGTGATTTATCGATATTTTCAGGACTCGACCCTGCGTAATGGCGGAAGGGACGCTTTCGTTCCTCCCTTTGGATGCTTTTTCCCGTTGGAGCGACCGATAAAGGTGGACACGCAGAGGAAGGCCATGAAGATGAAGAAGATGAAACTGGAGAAGAAGAGTCGACGGTTAACCCCAGGACCCCATATTCTTGCGCGTAAACCTGCTCTACGTGATTACCGGATATTACGCAGGAGGTTCGCGGGTCCTTTGAAGTCACACCGCCACCTCAAGGCAAAATCCTGACGTATCCTCGAATGCGAAATGCAACGAGAGATTCGTTCTCCAAGACCCGCTCCCAAAGTCCCTTTCGAAACCTCCTCTCCTCGGAACTGTCCTCGGGCGAAGGGAAGAAATTCGTGAAATCTCGGAATCTTAGACTCGGATGCCCAGCGTTGCACAATTACCAGAGGACGGCAAGAAGCGTAAAAAGGAACGTACGAGTCAAAAGCTAATTGACGATGCGGTAATTTCCACTTATTATTACTCTCTCGCTCGGGTTGCGACAGAGGGTCGCCTCCGAGGGGGCTTTTTACCGGCAAAAAGACAGGCGAAAGCAGAGATAAAAAGGCCCATGAATCCGAGATCAACGTGTCCAGATAATTCCTGATTTACGACTGTTCCCAGCCGCCTCGTTTTTTATTAATCGTTGAAGAAAGATCGGCGAATCCGTGTCACGACGCCGGATTTCGTTGGTCCTGGAGAAGATATCTTCCAAAAGACCGGCGCGTCCCTGACCTAGGGGTCATAACGTGCGAACGTTGATGGCAAGGATCAGAGAAGAGGGAATCGCGGAAAAGCGGCGATCGAAACGGGCGAAAGGGAATCAGGGTTAGGACGGAACGGCACGAGGGAAGAGTAACGAGAGGGCTGTCGAGGGGATCGAAAAGGAGCAAACCTCCGGACGTCGGGGTGCCCGAGGATAATGGATCGGTCGGCATATTATTTTCTGCCTAGCGCCGGATACGCAGCAGAACGGTGCCCCGAGCGGTACGTAGTGCGTATCCCGGCTGGACCACCCAGCATCACGCGTTACATCCGAGCGGTCCGCGGCTGCCGGCATTCATCCATTACAAGTACCCCCCGTTACATGTACAAGTCCCTAGCGGAAGATAGTTCCGTTCGATAAGACCCACGCTGGTGGCTGTATTGGCCAAGTACGAGGGGATCTCGAGGAGTATCTCGCAGGCAACTCGCAAGACTTCGCGACTAGATGGGCCTCGGTTCCGAAAACGGATTAGGGATAATTTTCATTTTCTAAGCTTGAAATACAAAATCCGAGTCATTGAATTTTCTGGTATTTTCCAGATGACCAGATGATAAGACCCACGCTGGTGGCTGTATTGGCCAAGTACGAGTG